GCAACATTTTGCATTTCGAGAGGGAGAATCGCATGCCGAACATGCTTGCATTGTTGCTTAGAGTGGTCAGAAGACTCTGCATTTTGTCAGCGTCTTCACCAAATAAAACTATGTCATCAGCATATTCTAAGTCAACAAGTGAACCTCCCGGTAGAAGTTCAACCCCTGTATATTTAGATGAGGAGAGTGTTATCTCTAAAAGTACGTCAATGACAAAGTTGAACAAGAATGGGGAGAGTGGACAGCCCTGACGAACACCACTTGAGGTGATCAATTCTGATGACAGTTCGCCATAAGCTCTCACTCTACCAGTTGTGTTCGAGTAGAGGGCCTTTATAAGGTTAATGTACTTCTTTGGTACTCCTTTCAGTGACAAACACTGCCATAGAACCTCACGATCAATAGAGTCGAATGCCGCCTTAAGGTCGAGAAATACTACCATTGTGGGGCGTCTGAATGTGTGTCTCTGTTCTAGAACCTGACGTAGTGTGAATATCTGATCTATACAACCACGTCCAGGTCGAAAACCAGCCTGGTTTTCTCTAGTCTGCTCTTCACGAGCTTTAGTTAGGCGTCGAAGTATTATTGAGGCTAATATTTTAGACACTATATTAGTCAAACTGATTCCTCTGTGATTGTCACAAGAGGACTTTTGTCCTTTCTTATAGACTGGCACAATCAGTGATTGAGACCAGTCAGATGGGATTACGTCCAGTTCCCAAATTCTACCTAAGACCTCGGTTAATCTCATTGCTAATACTGGACCACCATCCTTAAAAATCTAAGGAGTAAACCTGTCAGGGCCTGCTGCTCTCCTTCGCTTCAGATTTCCTATGGCTTTTTCAACTTCGTAAAGGGACGGAGGACTTACATTAACTTGCCATTCAGGTTGACTGGAGACGGGTACCAGGTAAGGATGGCAAATCAATTGATGAAGTAGTGAAACTTCATCAGTTGATATGGCTGGGACACGTGTTACGTATGCCCAACGACCGACTACCTCGACGTGCTATGTTCAGTGGTATAGGAGTAGGTTGGAAGAAAGCTAGGGGAGGCCAGACCAAAGCGTGGCACAAATCCATGAAGTCACTGACAAGTGGACTGAGTCATGTTGGTAGGTGTAGACTACCTGGTTGGGGACCACGAGATGACAGCAACCGATGGTTAGAGACCCTGAATGACATGGCTCAAAATCGTTTGCAATGGCGCAGGTGCATCCACTCTTTGTGTTCTCCCAAATTCTAATCCTCTGAATTCTTCGTGTCCTGTTTTTCCTCTTTCCAAATTTATTTCACAGTATTATAATCCTTGAATAACATCGAACCCTAATCTTTCCGATTACTGCTTATACTCTTGCTACCTCTACCGTTACGGAATTTGAATCGACAACTGCATCTTTAGGCTAATGTGGTGTGGCAACTCGAACAGATATACGTACGTACGAAGTTCTACGTTGTTACTGACTGTGTGAATGAGATTCCAAGAACAACAAGACAGTTCTTCAGACTCATAAAAGAAACCAGAATCAAGAAGCAAAATGTAAGTGAGACTATCTCGGAAAAAGAAGACACTTATCTGTTCTTAGCCCAGACGTTCAAAACGATAGATGAAACACTTTAAGGAGCAGTTCGGCTGGCCTTCAGCTACTCTATAACTACCCACCATCCAGACGGATTAACTCCAGAGGTCTTCAAGGATGATAGTCTAGTCTTAGCGATTAGATTGACTAATATTTTAGCTAAGATCTGGGAGTTAGACGTGATCCCATCTGACTGGTCGCAATCACCTATCGTTCTAATATATAAGGGGTCAAAACCATCCTGTTATAACCATCGAGGGATTAGTTTGACTGATGTAACATCTAAAATACTAAACTCAATAATTATCGGGCGCCTAAGAAAGACTTGTGAACAACAAACACGAGAAAATCAGACTGGCTTCAGACCTGATCCTGGCTGCATCGACCACATATTCACCATTGGTCAGGTTTTAGAACACATGCATGCTTACCGGCGTCCGACGATGATGGTCTTTCTTGATTTAAAAACAGCATTTAACTCCGTAGACCGCGAGATTCTCTGGCAGTATGTGTCACTGAAAGGAGTACCTCAGAAGTACATAAACCTAGTGAAGGCTCTTTACTCAAACACTACCAGTAGTCAGAGCTTATGGCGAACTCATCTGATTTTGCGACCTCAAGTGGTGCCCGTTAAGGCTGTCCACTTTCTCCATTTTTGTTTAACTTAATCAAAGATCTACTGATCTCCTACCAGGAGGTCCACTTATCGACTTAGAATACGCAGACGATATAGTCCTGTGTTGGCGAGGACGCTGATAAAATGCAGTCTTTCGGTAGCACTGAGCAACAATGCCAGGATGTTTGAGATGCGTTTCTCCCCCTCTAAATTCAGGTTGTATCATCATGATTGGCCTGTGTCGACACCTGAACTGAGGATAGGGAGTGAAGTAGTCGAACGCGTTGACAACTTCACTTATCTTGGAAGTCTGATCAGCCATAATGAGATGGTGCCTGACGAAATCTCAGCACGGATTCGAAAAGCTCGTTTCGCTTTTGCTAACTTACGTCACCTATAGCGAAGACGAGATATCCGTCTATCAATTACCGGACAAGTATATAGCACAGCAGTTCGTTCCGTTCTATTTTACGACTGCGAAACATAGTCATTACGAGTAGAAGATACTCGTAAGCTACTAATATTTGATCACACATATCTTGGAAATATTTCCCACATCTGCTGGGATCATCGGGTTAGTAATAGTGAGGTTAGATGCAAGGTATTAGGGAATGATGGTAAATCAGTTGATCAGCTTGTGAATCTTCATCGACTGAGATGGTTGGGCCACGTATCACGTATGCCTAAACACTGATTACCACGACATGAAATGCTAACTGGTGTTGAAGATGATTGGAAGAAAGTTAGGGGCGGTCAAACCAAAAAGCGATATCAGTGCTTGAAGTCACTAACTTCTGGTCTGAGCCATGTTGGTAGACGCAGACTACTTTGTTGGGGTCCACGCGACTATCGCAACCAATGATTGGAGACCCTGTGTGACATGGCTCACAATCGATCACAATCGCGTCGGTGTATACATTCTCTATATTCCCTTGAACTGTGAGATCGAAATAGGTTCATATGTCCCTTTCTATGAACTATTTCTTTCTTTCTATACTATATCCTTACATAAAACCATTCTTTTATATATCACACCATTGAGTTGACTGCTTTTATGAATCCGGTGTTCGTCTTGCTGTGCTAATGAGGTATGGCAACTTGGACCGATGCATATATGTGCCTGGTCCTACGTTGCAGCTGGCTGACTGGAATTGCAATACTACTGATCATCGTTGAACAATCAATTGAGTGGAACTCGCCATAATTCATCAACTTCCTTGACTATGAGAAAACGTTTGAGAGCGTGGACGGGAGAACCTTGTTAAACCTTCTTCGACACTGAGAGTGGATAGGAAATACATTCTAGAAATCAAAAGCTAACCGAAAGGTGTTATGGAAACACCCAGGCAATCGACGCTGTAACTACGGACTGATCATTTGATGCTAATGAATATAGTTATGAGTGATATAGGTGAAGAAACACTTAAAGGTGTTATGTTTCTGCTCACACAATTATCTTTAGAGTTAGTATTGAATCAATTTCTTCATATTTTTTATTACCATTTTTGTGAGCAGGCTGTGATAATACCCGGAAGCCCAAACTGAAGTAGGTCGTTTGCTTAATAAGTCATTTTCCGGCCTTCTGACCTAAAGGTCCAATCCAAAAGACAATAGAGCAACGTCAGGACATGCGATACCATGGAAGCCGGTGACCAGGCATAGGTTTATACGCTATTCGATAACTGAGGATCCCGGTACCCACGAACAACATTGGCTTTGAATCTGAGTTTGCTTTTCATCTTCCCAATTACGTAGACGGAACGTTGCTGTGAGAGGCCAGTGAGTAGGACTTTCCTGGCAGTTGGAGTGTATGTGTGATCGTGTGAGTATTTCGAGAGGGAGTGGACTTTTCACCCTCGGTCGTACTAAGCCACTTCGTGACCACTAAGTTGCACTCTTTCGGGACTTCAAAAAGTGAGTTCAAGGCAGTGCAACTCAGTGGCTTTAAACGTTATCAAACATGGCTCAAGGTACCAAAACAACCAAAAGAGGGGAATTAATGGAGAGCAAAGTGTTAATTTTGGGGAAATGTACTTTTTCTCCATCGTGTGTTAATTCTGAGGAAATGTCTCAGTGAGGAGTAAATACATAGACACACTGGGGAAAAGTAGACCGGCTTCCATAGAAACCGTGGAAAAAGAATAACATACTAATAACCTAGGTTGTTTTAAACGTTGTAGCAAAAGTAGACAAGTTGGCGTATATTTAGGCGAAAAGTAGACAATTCAGCGACATTTGAGAGACAGGGCGACAAAAAGGAGGAAATCCGCATTATTTCCCCTGGGCAGGCAAAAAAGTAGAAGTTTTGGCGCGTTTCCCCTTTGTTCGCCTTTATTTCCCCTTTGTTGGTTGATTGGACTTGAGCAAATAAAGAAACGCTGCCTAGCCATGAAATAATGAATAGTGAAATAGTGGAATATCAGCTCTGGCTCGAATAATTAACCATCACAGGCCAACTTATTCTTCGTAGTAAGGAAAAAATGTAGGGTTATCATATAGGGAGTCGGGGTAGTATTCTGAGTAAGAGTTACTACCCCATAAACACTGATCATTTACAGTTCTAAACATCAATGGGAAGATTCGATCAAACAATACCAATTGAATTCTAAGTATGAATTACTACCCCATAGAGTTTCCATAACATGGCATTGGTTATAATTTAAAAAGGCAAGGATTGGGTACTAGAAAAGGCTACAGATTTGGGTTGGGTTTGCAAATTACACTCAAGGCTTTCACCACTTAATAACAAAATCAACAAGGAATAACACAAGCCCGAAAATAAAGTAATATTGGAATCGAAACTACCAGCGGATAATTTCCCATGCAACAATTGCTGCACTTTAAACTTAGCGCAGATTGTATGAGACGTAATCTCTATTTTGATTGGGTAATTCTGTTACAACTTCAGCATAGAAGAACAACAGAATTGTGGTCTGGGTTATTCTTAGTAATGGCAGTCCCTCAGTTGACTCAACTTTCTTTTGGTAGCAGATGGAGCTTCAATCGTGTGTTGAGATAATGTGTTCCATTCGTTGATGATTCGATGGGAAAGTCTATAATCATCTTACAAGTAAATTTTTCCAGGTTTATGAACCTTTTTTGAAGTGTTTTCGTTAACTTTCTGTTTTGGAAGACAAGACAAGTTAAAGCATATCATTTGCCAATACTTCATCAAGTAGTTTAAAAATTGTGATGAAATCGCTTCTAATTCATCTATATGACAAGGGAAATAGGTTTAGTTTAGTCAGTCGTGCATCATACAGGAGCTTTGAAATTCTGAGAATCAGCATATTTGCAGTTCTAAAAATCTATTCCAGCGGCTCACTGTCTCTTTTCAAGCAGGGACTAGCTGCTTATATTCAGTACTCCAGTTTGTGACGAACAAATACTGTACACGAAGACAAAAGTTTTTTAGCATCGACGTAGCTAAAGGCTTTACGTATTGACCATCGGAACTGAAACCTTTGGCTGCTACTGTACTGCAGTGTTTAACAGTTCCTAAGTATTGGCTAACGATGACTAATAAGTCATTGTGTGTCTGGAAAACGGACAGCTCAATGTTATTCACTGTGTGTGTTTGTACCTTTGCGACTAACAGACATTACAATGCACTTGGAACCATTTATCGGCAACCGCCAAGTTTGAGACCATCCAGATAACTTCTTTAGGTCATTTTGAAACTTAACTATCACCTCTACTACTTATCGCTCGTAGTATCTTGACATCGTCAGTATATAACAAGATCGATGATGATAGGAGACTAGGAAGGTGATTTACGAAGAGGAGGACAACACCGGCCTCAAAACAGTACCATGCGTTACTCCACTAGGCCCAGTTTCCCGACTCGACAACTTTGAGTTCACTCGTACTCCTTGTTGACACCCAACTAGGAAATCCTCTATCCACATTAACAAATTGCCTCCCAACACCGATATTAATTAACTAGTATAACAGCTGGTTGTGAAGAACTTTGTCAAACGTTTTGCTGAAGCCAATGTAAGCTACATCAATAGATAACTTTTGATCTTTAAGAGCGCACCAACTTTCATCGGCTGCTAATAAGTTCAAATGGTTCAAATGGTTGTGGACGGAATAGAAGAAGCTTCCACTTAACGGGTTTCCGTGTCTAGTAGCAGGGGATCACCAAATCCTCCAGGCAGGAACCTAGGTATATTAACTATAATAGATTAGAAAAAAAGAAATCGGTAAATCATAGTAAGATATTATCCTTAGTCCTTAAGAATAGGTCAAGTTTCCTCTTAAATGACTCCTGGGAAGTCGCTTGCACTAGTTCAGTCAGCAGCGAACCCCAGCATTTGACAACTCTTAAGGAGTAGACGCTGTGTCTACAGTCCATTCTGCTATGTTGTATCTCCAATTTCTGGATGTTACCCCTTAGATTTGTATTGGGACTGAGCTTAAGTAGGTGTTTAGGGGGATGTCCAGGAGTGTGAATGATATTGTAAGCCATTAGGTCACATCTGAGACACCTATACTCTAATGGGTAAAGGTCAAGTGATTGGAGACGCCCTTCATAAGGCTTGAATTTGAGTCCCAGAACTGATTTCGTGGCTCGCCGTTGGATACGCTCCAGAGTGTCCTTATCCTTTTGGAGTGAGGGAGGAAATACAATGTTTCCGTACTCTGAATGGGGACGAATAAAACTGTTGAAGATTGTGTGGAAAGTTTTCCTGTCAAACTGGCCAAGAATGAGCTTCAATGTTACCAGTGCAAGATTTTCTCGAAAGGCATTTTTGTCACAGAGTATGACTTCAAATCGTAGGGTACCAGCACTCCTAAATCTTTTTCAACTTGAGTTACTTCTAGAGAGGAGTTTCTTAAGTTGTAGTTGCAGTCTGAACGATGTCTCAGATGGACTACTTTACATTTTGAAGTGTTAAAGATAAGTCCGTTGTCATACGCCCAACTCTGAAGTCGAATCTGATCCTCCTGAAGTGCCTGTATATCGTCTTGGTTGCGTATCTCTCTCCAAAGTTTCACGTCGTCGGCAAAAAGTAATAAGTCTGACGATACCTGTTGTGGAAGATCTTTTATATAAATCAAAAAGAGAAGAGGTCCTAGTACCGAGCCCTGAGGGACCCCACTAGGACATTCCATAGCCTGAGAGAAAGTGAAGTTAACCCTGACCTTAAAATGTCGATTTTTTAGATATGAAGTGAGCCAATCAATTAGAGGTGATTTGATACCCAATCGTTTGAGCCTAATAATAAGACATGTGTGGCTGGACATTTTAAAAGCTTTTGAGAAGTCAAGGTAAATGAAATCAACCTTAAGCTTGCGATCAAGGATGGTTGTCCATCTGTCCACCACAGTCAGCATGTTGGTCATACAAGAATAAAACTTCCTGAAACCATACTGAAGTGAAGATAAGTTTAAGGATAATAAATAGTCGTGTATAGCGTCGCACATCACCGACTCCACAAGTTTTGGAGGTATAGAGAGAAGAGCCACCGGTCGGTAGCTTGAAGGTTCGCTGCGTCGACCTCCTTTGAAAATTGGTGTGATGTGAGCCAGCCTCCGAATTTCCGGTAGTTTGCCTCGGCTTTGCGAGTGTGAGAACATCACGTCAAGCGGTGCTGCCAGGAGTGAAGCTGCCTCCCTCAGTATAGCAGAATGAACTATAACCGGGCCAGGAGAAGTGTCTAATCTTAAGTGCTGCAGTTTCCGGAACACCAAGTCAGCGCTTAGGTTTACTTCGGAAAGTCCTGTGGAATTGCAAATGAAACTGTCATCAGTAAAGTTAGTGTTGGTCGGTTGAATTGTCTGGGACTAATGCTCAGCCAGAAGGTTAGCGCCGTCGCCATCGTTGTTGGTCGGGCCGTTAAGACCTACCAGTTGGGAAACTCCTGTTTTGGCTTGACGAATAGAGGCTGCATAACGGAATAAGCTTTTAGGATTAGAGGCAAATTTGTCCATAAGCTTTGTCTGGTACTGAAGCCTATCTTCTCATATAGCCTTCGTGCATATGTTCCTGATATAATTATATTGCCTATACGCTCCGTCGTTGTCAGTTCGTTCGTATTCCGCCCAACAGTGCCTTTTGCGGCTTAGCAGGCGATGGGTACGGTTCTTGATTACTGTAGGTGGCTTGCAGCTTTTGGGAAACGTTTGGGGAACTGAATTGTTTGTAGCACATAAGAGCGTGTGCAGTAAGAAGTCCCAATGACCGTCCACATCGAGTTGGGGGTGAACATCCCAAACCACCTGTTGTAGATAGTCGTGTAGAGCTGGTTTATTCAACCGTTTAAAATTCTAACGCAAGTTATTGGTGAGGTATCTTAGCTTAGTTTTGCTGACAAAACTGAAGGCTATGACGGCATGATCGCTTTTTCCCAAGGTAGCCAGGATCGGGGGGTTGTCAACTAGAAATTCTTCGTTTGTGAATACAGTCTAAGCGCGATGGGGTCTGACTGTTTCTCCAACGAGTTGCCGACCTCACATTTTCGTACAATCCCAAGTTATCGATGAGGTTGAAGAACCGAGCTTCAATTGAGTTGTCGCCTCCAGTATACGTGTGTTCCGCGAAGTTGACTCTAGGGAGATTAAAGTCCCCTAGAATCAGGACGTGTGTGAAACCGAGACGAGTAGAGCGGGATAGTCCTTCCAGCATACGACTATCGTACTCGATTTCGGCAGTTGGCTTCCTGTAAATGACTCCGACTAGACACCTCGAAGTACTGGACAAGCTTACAGAGCACTTTATAGATTCCTCAAGATTGTTAAACTCGAGGTTGTGAACTTGGTGCACCTCCAAGCAAGAATGTATGTAAACAGCTACTCCGCCCCCAAATCCTGATTTTCTGTCATTGCGGAACAAAGACATCCCAGGTAATGCTAACTCATGGTCCGAGAACTGAGATATCCAGGTTTCAGATATTCCTGTCAGATGGGCCTTATTAGCATTGCTAAGTTCACGTAGTTCATCCAATTTGTTTGATAGACTCGCGGCGTTCATATATAAGCAGTTTATGCTTTCAATTTGGAACGCGTGAGCTTCTTCCTCTTTGTCTGTATGAACCTTATGTGAATGGACAGGTAGCCCACCTATATGAGGTTTGCTGAGGTGATAGACCCTGTCCTTTACACGTTTTTATCGTCTAGACAGTCCACAAGTGGAACGGTTAGCTCCAACTTGCCTTTGTGTTTGGTCCTAGCTTCGTATGGCTTACCCGGGTGCATGTGGATTCCAGGTGGCAGTCGACGTCTGTTGGCATGAAATGCTTCCAGAGTTGCAGCAGCCATATATGAAGATGGAAAGGTCATCTTCATTAGATGGGGTCTAGAATCACCATCCTTCTTGGCTAGTCTTGTCACATGCTGAGTCAGTATGTTTTTGAGCCTCAAGGACTGTTTTTATGAATTTCCATTCCCTGATGTCAGTCTTTGATTGAATAGGGTCAGTATTTTCCAGTATACCTTGCACGATTATATTCCCCGCGCGGAAAAACTGATCGCGAGTTTCTTTGGGGATGTTCCGGATGAGATTGCGCTCAGAATACGGTATGCCAGGCAGTATTCTTACATTCCCATCTGACTTCAGTAAATGACTCGCTAGTAAGACATCCTCTACGTCGGTAGCATTCTTAAGTGTTACACGAAGTAGACTCGGGGGATTCTGATGCTTAGATTCCTTTCCCCGAGTGAGCCGTATGACTGTCAAAGGCTCTATTCTAGGAAATTCAAGTTTCTTGTTAAATTCTCCCCAGAGCATCCTATCATTTTTGTCCTGCGAACTGAGAGGAAGATCATGGTTGTCTTTGAAGTTCATGACTATGAGAGAGTCATCACGAACCGTTATTGTCGTCCCAGGTTTTCCGGTGGGTTCAGGTTTAGTACCTTGTTTTTGGGGGTCGAAGCACGTTCATGAATCCTTGGATGTTTGATGACCGTACGGACAATCTTGGGGGTAGACTGTGCGACCAGATCACCAGTTGACTTTCGTTCAACAGCTGGGATGTTCAACTTGGACTGTGACGCCTGGCCCTTT